GGCCACAGTACCCACGTGTATCTTATGTACAAAGTGCAGCATGCCTTATTGGCTAAAATATGGCACGTATGTGCCATGAGAGACAGAATTAAAGAATTGAAAGAGACCTCAGAGGAAATCAGCCAGTCCAATTCCCTCACCTTGTTTCCACAAACAAGAAAACTGGGGCTCAGGACACTGGGTCACAAAACCAGCTCATGGCAGACCCAGGTCTACAGCCTCCCAACCTAGCAGTCTAAGCAATAACTCACAGCAGCATGTGAATCACAAAACTCACAAAAATTCCCAAAAATAAAATTTCTATTTTCAGGAAAAAAAAAAACTACCTGAAGTTTAGACAAAGCTGAGTATCAAATTCACAGGACTTTGATGAGGTATTTGGTTTCATGTCTCTGGCATATTTGACCAAAAAACAAAGTCAAGAGATGTAAATAATAAAAACAACAAAAGCTAAAGACACAATAAGCTGTTTCCATCAAAGGTAGTTTGTCATTCGTAAAATGACATCAGAGTGTTATTGAAACCTTAATCACAGAGGCCTGGAACACACCCTGCATTATCCTGGCTGATACAAAAGAAGAAAACACACACGCATGCAACTAAGGAGATCGAGCCCAGATCCATTTGTGTTATATCAGAAAACTATTCAATGGGTCCTACTGGGCTCCGAGTGTCAAACTGCACTAGGCCTTGGCAGTGTTCTTAGTAACTTGCTTTGTTCCTTCTTTCATTCATTTGAATATTATTTAAGCATCTATTCTGTTTAGGCGTTGAGGATAAAACATCAGTGAATAGACCAGGTGCCATGGCTCACAACTGTAAACGCAGCACTGTGGGAGGCCGAAGCGGGTGGATCACCTGAGGTCAGGAGTTCGAGAACCAGTCTGGCCAACATGAAGAAACCCTGTTTCTACTAAAAATACAAAAATCAGATGGGCGTGGTGGTGCGTGCCTGTAATCCCAGCTGCTCAGGAGGCTGAGGCAGGAGAATCACTCGAACCTGGGAGGTGGAGGCTGTAGTGAGCCAAGATTGCACCACTGCACTCCAGCCTGGGCAACAGAACAAGACTCTGTCTCAAAAATTAAAAAAAAAAAAAAAAGAAAAAGAAAAGAAAATCAGTGAATGAAAGAGAAAAATCCTTACCCTGTAGAGCTTTCATTCTAGGGAGGCTCTGAACAGGTCAGTAAAACCACACTATATGTTAGGTGGGAGAGGCAGGAGGTTCACGATTACATGGGCTGCTTAGAGAAGACCTCACTCTGGGAGTGGAGGCAAGGGGAGGAGACCTGGGGGCACCTGGGAGATATGGGAACAGGAAGGTGGCCAAAGGGGCTGGGACAGGATGAGCAATGGGGTGAAGGACAGAAGTTATGGCCTTGACTTTGGCTTTTGCCCCAAGTGGAATGAGAGTCAATGGTCTCTGCAGATGATGCAAAAGAGCTGACGTGCTTTTTAAAGGACCCCTTTATCATTAAACTTTTCCCTGAATGTCACCAAGAATTCCTCTTCACATTCAGACAAACCCACACACAGGCAGACACCTACATAACATTCACACACACCCCAGAGGATGTGGTCCGACCCAGGCCCCCGCAGCACAGGTCACCCTCTAATGTCTATGTGTGCTGCCACCCCTCTGTTAGTCACTCTCATCCCACAGCACCTGTGCTGCAGACAGCTTGGGAACGGCCCCTTATCAACCATCTGGACCCAGGGATGTAATTCTCTCCTGTGCTTGAGGCTCACATCCCACTGAAGCCCTTCCTCCTTCCAACCAGAACCTACCCACCACCTGGAGGCCCCAACAGAGGTCTGGGATGCCCACCTCTCAAGGGAAGTCCAAGCATCTGTCTCATGTCCTGCAGCACTTGAAGGAGATGAAGGGGTCTCAACTGAACAAAGAAAGCAGGTGGAGGGCCAGTGTGGGTCAGAGCGGCCCATCCCTGTCTGCACTAGGAGTCGCACCTTCCTCCCTTCCCTACACCTGCCTCAGAAGGAACAAAAGGAGTAGCAAAGAGAGGTGAGGGGTGCAACCGAGGATGCTGCAGCGAGAACGGGAACCCAGCCACCCATCTGCTCGCGCCTTATTGACATGGGTTCTGTGAACTCACACAAGATTGACAGTGGGCCCGGCATCCAGGATGAGGGAGGACACGGATGGAGGGAGGAGCATGGATGGGGGAGAGGGGCAGAGCACGAGATGCCAGAAGTACTGAGGGAGAGAGGAGCACAGATGGAGGGAGGAGCATCGATGGGACGAAGGAGCACTGAATGAGGGGAGGAGCATGGATGAGGGAGGAGCATGGATGGAGGGAGGAGAATGAGAGGAGCATGGATGGAGGAGGAGCAGCAGAGGAAGAGAGGAGCACAGAGGGAGAGAAGGAGCAAGGATGGAGGGAGCACATGGTGGGAGGGAGGAGCATGACAGAGGAGGAGCACAGAGGAGGGAGGAACACAGAGGGAGAGAGGAGCATGGATGCAGAGAGGAGCATGGAGCAGAGAGGAGCATGGATCAGGGAGGAGCATGGAAGGAGGAGGAGCACGGATGGAGGGAAGAGCACAGGGAGAGAGGAGCACTGAGGGAGAGAGGAGCAACGATGGAGGGAGGAGCATGGAGGGAGGGAGGAGCACGGAGGGAGGAGGAACACAGAGGAAAGAGAGGAGCATGGATGTAGGAAGGAGTATGGAAGAGAGGAGGAGCATGAGGAGGGAGGAGCATGGATGGAGGTCACCCGCCCACATGCTTTATGGCACTGGACCATGTTCTCGTGACCCCAGCAAAGTCAGCTCTTTCACCAGATTAGGAAATGGATTCCCAGGAGGGCATCTGCCCCGGGTCACAGCATGACAAAGCTGGGACTCAGGGTCTTGGTCTGCCCAAGACTTCCCACCTCCCAATGTATCTAATCTTCCTGGGGTGATAAGCCCCCAACCCCACTCCACCGTGGTGCTCCAGTGTGGGGGTGCAGGAAGGCAAGGAGGTGGTGGCGTTAGGTCTGGACTCTGAAGCCACAGACAGGATGAGAACCACACCTGGGGGCAGAGGATTCTCCCCAGAGAACAATAATAGACAGCTCATGTTCATCAAGGGCTTACTGGGCACAAACCCTATTCCACCTACCGTATTCATTAATCCTCACAACATCTCATGACCAATGTGGTGACGTCATGCAAAAAACAATAATAATCCGCACAACAGCCCCAACCAGTAGGAAGACATTTTCCCCATTCATATGTCCCCATTCCTCAGATGAGGCAACTGCAACCCAGAAAAGCAAAATAACTTGACCAAGGTAAGAAGAAGTCCACAGTACAGGCACAGTCACACTCAGGGCTGTGTGACCCCAGAGGCCACACTCCTAACCCTGACACCATCCCCTTTTACACGGTTTGTGTTATTTTTCTAACGAATGCCGTGAGGTGGTTTAGCCCTTATTAAAGCACATACTCCAGAACCCTCCTTCAATTCCTCAGCACTTACCGTGTGCCAATACTGGGCTAGGCCCGGAATTCTGGGTGAAAAGGTCACGACATAGTCTGTCCTTAAAGAATAAGAACTCCTTCCTTTGAAGCTAGAGGGCTTTAGTCTCCTCAAGACAACAGGAAGGCCAAGGTGTGGTGCCTCACGCCTTGTAATCCCAGCACTTTGGGAGGCCAAGGCAGGCCTTGGCCTCACTTGAGACCAGGAGTTCAAGACCAGCCTGGGCAACATAGTGAGACTCGTCTCTACAAAAAATAAAAGAGTTGTTATGTGTGGTGCACATTTCATAGTCCCAGTTACTCAAAAGGCTGAGGCAGGAGGATTGCTTGAGCCTGGGAAATCGAGGCAGCAGTGAGCTGTTATTGCCACTACTGCACTCCAGCCTGGGCGACAGAGTGAGGCCCCGTCTCAAGAAAAAAAGGAGAACAGGGAACTTTCCCTGAAGCATCTGGTGTAGAAGTGGAGGGGTTATGATGGCATTCTGGGAGGGATGGGCCGGGGGTGGAGCAGGAAGAAGAGAGGGGTCTATACCTCACCGTTTTCCCCAGGTAGACAGATTTTTAACTTGTACCACCCCACAGTCCAGTGAGCTGTGACAAAGAAACTGCAAAGGCATGGGCTTCGTCATCAGCCAGACTCCAATTCTAATCTCAGCCTGTCACCACCGGTGTGCCCTCAAGAGGCTAACTCACCTCTCTGGGCTTCAGTTCCCTCGTCCCTGTACAATGGGAGGTGAGAACCGAACTCCGGTGTTTCCAGGGCGGCTAGAGGTGTCAGAGATGTGTGAACCAGAGCAACTCCGTCTTGAACAGAAGCTGGGTAAAATAAGGCTGAGACCTACCAGGCTGCATTCCCAGATGATTAGGCACTCTAAGTCACAGGACGTGACAGGAGGTCAGCACAAAACACAGGTCATAATGAGCTTGCTGATAAAACAGGTTGCAGCAAAGAAGCGGGTTAAAACCCACCAAAACCAAAATGGCCACAAGAGTGACCTCTGGTTGTTCTCACTGCTACACTCCCACCAGCGCCATGACACTTTACAGATGCCATGGCAATGTCAAGAAGTTACCCTATATGATCTAAAAAGGTGAGGCATGAATAATCCACCCTTTATTTAGCCTATTATCAAGAAATAACCATAAAAATGGGCAACCAGCAGCCCTCAGGGCTGCTCTGTCTGTGGAGTATCCAGTCTTTTATTCCTTTACTTTCCTAATAAACTTGCTTTCACTTTACTCTATGGACTTGCCCTGAATTCTTTCTTGCATGAGATCCAAGAACCCTCTCTTGGGGTCTGGATCCACTTTCCTGTAACGGAGGGGACTGGTAGGGTACAGTATTCCCAGTGCTATCTGAGAGCCCAGATCATAGACAGCAGGCCTCACATGTGTGCTATAGTTACAACTGTCCTCATCACCACCACCATCATCCAAACAGCCAGAGGGCTTTTCTCCAGAGTGGTGGCAGCAGGAACCATCTGTGGCTGGCCAACATTTCAGTCCTTCTGAGTCAACCATGGGCTTCCCAGGGCACATCACGGGCAGTGTGGACCCTGTGAGTGTTGGGCACCTAGGAGATGAGCCCATAGCTGCTGTCTCCTTCCTGGGACAATCCCTCATACTACGGGCACCACAGTCAAAAGGGCAGGGGTGCTCCCTGAGAAGGTGGAATCATAGCTCACTGGCAGCGCCCCAGCATTGCTCAAGTCCCAGCAGCCAAGACTCAGGTGGCCCTTTTGGTGACAAGCCAGCTCTATCCCTCAGGAGCTCTCTACCCTCAGGAGGGGGTGGCAACTCTGGAAACTGCCCTGTTTCTCAGCAAAATCTGGGACTGGCTCAACAAGCGCCCTGCAGAGTACCTGGAGGACCAACTCTCCGTTTTATTCCAGAAAGTTTGAATTTTGCACCACTTCATTAGCCTTCAATCCTTGAGCGCTAAGAAGGGGTGGTAACTCAAGAATCGCTCACTGAGCATGGCCCCCCGGGGCAGGGGCCGTGCAGTCCAGTCCACTGCTCTACCCAAGCACCTTCTCAGAGCCTGATAGCTAGTAGGCACTCAAATATTCATTACTTTAATAAATGAAGGAGGCCGGGCACGGTGGCTCACACCTGTAATCCCAGCACTTTGGGAGGCCAAGACAGGCAGATCATGAGGTCAGGAGATCGAGACCATCCTGGCTAACACAGTGAAACCCTGTCTCTCTTAAAAATACAAAAAAATGGCCGGGCGTGGTGGCGGGTGCCTGTAGTCCCAGCTACACGGGAGGCTGAGGCAGGAGAATGGCGTAAACCTGGGAGGCGGAGCTTGCAGTGAGTAGAGATCGCACCACCGCACTCCAGCCCAGGCCACAGAGCGAGACTTCGTCTCAAAAACAAATAAGAAAATAAAAAATAAAAATAAAAAAAAAAAAAAAAAAAATGAAGGAATGCAATTAGGGCAATAATAAAATAATTTTTCCAAAAGAAAAGCAGTCCCACCACACATAACTCATTTCAATTTCACCTCTAGTTTTCCCCATCTGCATACATATCATCACATATTTACAGGACTACAAATGCCACACACATGCAATCTTAAATACTGTGTATTTTCTCTCGATGTAACAGTATGAATATGCTCGTGTTCTTACCCAGCCTCCATAATTGACATCTGCGTGTGTGACGACCCACCCATCGTGTCCTGTGCCATGGTCTGGCAAACCTCCCCTTACCACTGGACAGCTATCTTGTTTTCATTTTTTTCTGTATTATGGATAACGCAAATAGCCTCATACATTCTGCTTTGCTTTTCTATTGCATTCTTGCCTCAGGAGGAACACCCCTGGAAGGATGGAGTGGATGGAAGGGCATCGCTGTCCTCATGTCATAGATGAAGAGAGTAATACCGGGCAGGTACCGGCACGATCTTCTGCCGTGGGAGTTCTGTAAAAGCTGCTGGATGAATAAACGTGGCTCACCCACCTGATGCCCTCAGTGAGTGGCAGAGCCTCAGCTTGCCCCAAGCCAGGGCTCTGTCACCTGCCCACGCAGTCAGAAAGTGACTTTCTGTAAGTCAGTAGGTTAGTGTGCCAGCCCCCAAACTCCATTTTTTAGTAAGACACAAATTCCAAAATCCCCTGTGGATTCTACAGGATGGACACAGAGCCCACATAAACCCAGCACCTCTCACCACCTTCTCTTCTCAATACTCTTTCCTCCTTCGCACCTGTGCTCAGAGTCCCGCGAGTGCAGTGGGTACTGGAGAGCAAGCACCTCCCTAAATGTCACGCCCAGGGCCCCTTGTGGCCTCACCCCTGGCCCCAGGGTTTTCCAACAACCCGGGCTCACTCCCCTTCGGCTTCCATGTGAGCTGTTCCTCGGCTTCCAAAGCTCTTTTCCAGCTGTATCCCCGTGGAGTCCTTCTCCACCCTTTTGGGGTCTTTACTCAAATATCACCTCCTCTGCAAACCCATCCTGACCCCTCACTTAAAATTACACCACCATCTAGGCACCCCTCCCTGCTTTCATTTTCTCCAAAGCAATTTTACCACTTAACAGATAACACATTTTCCTTAGTGTGTGTGTGGTATTTTTAGGGATGAGAATCTCGCTATGTTGCCCAGGCTGGTCTTGAACTCTGGCTCAGGTGATCCTTCTGGCTCAGGTGATCCTTCTGCCCCAGCCTCCCAAGTAACTGGGATTCCAGGTGTGTGCCACTGCTCCAGGCTTTACTTATTTACTTGTCATCTGAATGTCTCCACCCAACACTAAAGTGTAAGTTCCACAAGGTCTACATTTGTGTCCATTTTGTTCACTGCTATTTTCCCCAGAACTAAGAATAGTGCCCAGTCCCTAATGGGTGCTAATTAAACACTTGTCGAAAAAATAAATAGTAATATTGTAATATAAAAATATTCTCATTCTGCACAAGGCATTGTGCTTTTCCATGGCTCATCTTACTTACTATGAAAAACGACCCCATTATAATCCCTATTGCACAGATGAGGAAACTATTGCTCAGAAAGGGTAAGCAACTTGCCCAAAGACACACAGCAAGCCAGAAAGGCAATGCAGTCTGAATCCAGGCTGTCAACCACCAGAACCTGTGCTCTTACCCAGCATGAGGTGCTGCTCATCCTCCCATCCTTATATCCAAAGATAGAAGCCATCCATGGCCCAGCAGAGCTTTATAGTAAGAACAGCAGGTCTGCCTTTTGGAACAGAAGCATTGCCTGGCTTGCAGCCACAGGGTGACAGGGGCCCGTTTGCTATGACAAGTAGGACCAGGGTTTTGACAAGTTGGGTGCTAAGATAACGAACCCTGCCAGACCAGGAAACTGCTTAAACCAAACAGGGCCAGAGAGGAAGTTTAGCCTAAGCTGTTAGATGCTTGAGACAAGGTCTGGTCATTTGAGGCTACCTAAGTCTTCTTCTAAGAATAGTCAGAAGCCCCCTCTGGTTTAGGGGTCTAGGTGGGAGGGATGCAAGTGAAGGAGTTTCCTCTAGACACACGGATGATTGCAGCCCACATGGCTGGCTGTACACAGGTATTGCAAGTAAACGAGGTCTTTGACTTTTGGTTTCTCTTTTTCTTTTTTTAACTACTTCCTAAAACTCTCAATTGTCAAAGATGCAGTTGGAAGAGTGGCCTGGGGTTTTGTCTCAAATGTTCACCTCTCCTCATAAGCCACCAGGCCAACCACACAAAAAAAATTTGCTGTCCCCTGAAAAGACAAGTTTCCATTCGTTGATGGATTCTCCCTTGTTCTACTCTGTCCCCTGTCCCCTGTCCCACAGTGAGTCAGGGCCACCACAGGGACCCACCCCAGGGACTCATCACCTTCTTTCTCCTAAAATGCACCACCAGCATTTAAAATACCACTGTGCCTGTCGCCATCAGATCCAAGCACTACCTGCTATGTTGTCTTTGTAGCCGGAACCCTTCCAAGCAGAGGCAAAATTCTTTGAGATGATCAGATAAAGTCCTCTGCCCGCCTGCCGCCCAAACCCCAGTCCTGCAGGCTGCTCCTCACAAGGATGCCCCTCTCCCACCTTCCTGCTCAGCCAGAAGCCCCCACCTCTTGCTTTGCAGCCTCCTTTCTGCAAATGGCCACCTGTTAATCCAGATCCCCAGACTCTGTTAGTTCATCCTGTCTCCAACTGTGAGAGACTCCCATTTCAATGATGTGAAAAAAGAGATTGCCAAATCCATTTCCACCCAGCATTACTTCTTCTAAAATGCTAAGCATTACCAAAGCCTTGTATTATCTCTTTCTGCCCTGAACAAGACCCAAGATCAAGCAAATTTCTAAAGAGGGCAATAAAATGAACACAAATGGAAATGCAGACAATTCATCTCCACCAGTGACTGTGGGACTTTGGGCCTTATTTCATCACCTACATGGGCTCATAAAGTTATCATCACTGAGACGTTAACTGAGAGAACTGCTGTCAGAATCTTGCTGCCTTAAACCTGGGTACTAGCTAGGCAAGGTGGCATACACCTGTGGTCCTAGCTATTTGGGAGGCTGAAGGTGAGCCAGAGAGGTAGACAGAGGCTGCAGTGAGCCATGATGGTGTCTCGGAACTCCAGTCTGGGAAACACTGTGAGACCCTGTCTCAAAAAACCTGGGCAGGTCCACTTCACATTAGCCATAACTGTGGGAGGAAGGGATAGGGCCCTGAGTTATTATTAATATATTCCCAGGATTCTGGCCTTCCATTCCTATTTATTTATTTTTTTATTTTCATTTTGAGATGGAGTCTCATTCTGTTGCCCAGGCTAGAGCGCAGTGGCCTTATCTTAGCTCACTGCAACCTCCATCTCCCAGGTTCAAGCGATTCTCCTGCCTCAGCCTCCTGAGTAGCTGGGATTATAGGCACCCACCACCACGCCCAGCTAATTTTTGTACTTTTAGTAGAGACGGGGTTTCACTATGTTGTCCCGGCTGGTCACCTGACCTCAGGCAATCTGCCCACCTCGGCCTCCCAAAGTGCTGGGATTACAGGCATGAGCCACAGGGCCCAGTCCACTTTCCATTTATTTAATAGCAACAAGCTTACATGCAAGGAACCCAAGGTGCTGGTTAACCCTGGTCAAAGGAGGCCCCTAACTCAATGACATCAGACCCCCCTGGGGCTTATTAGTCGTTCAGCCTCCCCCCAAACGAAATGGTGCCAACATCTTCCACCAGGCTATTTCCAGGCACTGCCGTGAGGTCCACACCTCACTAGGTGAGTACACTCTAGACTCCCAGAAGTATCTGCTCGATCTCATAACCCCTTCTTGCCCCATCCTACAGGAAGAAACCCATGAGGAGCACAATGTCCCGAAGTCTACATTCCTAACCAGAACCACAAATCAGAGTCTGCAGTCGGGAGAAAGGGGCAGGGCAGGCAGCTCAGTAAGAAGGGGGTTTCCCACGGCTGTCTCTTGGGCTTGTTTCCCATAACTGGGTGCCTAGACACTCATACCTGGTATCGGCAGCCCCACATCTGAGCTGGCAACCTCAAGTCTGAAGACCCTTTCCCTGGCAGGGGTCCATGTGCCACCAAGCAGGCCGGGACTGCCAGGCTTTACATCAGAGAACTGAGTTTCAGTTACCACAGTGAAGGCTGGCAGCACAGAGCACAGCTCAGTGCAAATCAAGACACATTTCCCAAGTCCCTACACACCTCAGTGCAGAGATGAGTCAGCTGCATGGCCTGATGAGCCTTCATTCACACCTCACCAGCACCTTCTACGGGTTTACTCATCCACAAACTCCCCCACTAAGCTGGCTTTCTGGAGCACAATACACCTCTCATTCACTCTTATATTCCAGAACAGTGCATGAAACCCGGCCAGGAGGGTGGAGGGGGAAACGGGAGGACGCCTGTTTGTTGAGTTGGTGCATTAATTCTCTCCTGGGGC